CACGAAGAAAAACGATTCGTGTAGTATTCTTCCAGTCGTATCATATCTTAATATAAGAGTTAGATCACGACATGACAGCTGAGGATGGGACGCGCGAGCTGAACATTGTATGGGCTTCTTTGCATTAAACATACTGCGTACAATAAAATTCCGAATACAAGGATGATATCGTTCCAAATCAGAGATTGAGTTTGATTCAAAGCGATTTTGAAGTCTAGTGTCAGCGTAATTATGGAATGAGAGCCTGGAGTGGAACAGGTTTCGGGCGTTTACCGATTTGGCGAAAATGACAAACTCCGACCAAATCAGTGAGTGAGTGAGTGATTTGGATTTAACTCGAACTGATTCCAATCATAGACCACTTTGGTGATTTTCTGCTCCATTCTTGTAGACCATTAACTCTTTGTATATGTAGACGTTTCGTGCGGTATATGGGGATTCTGGGTTGTCGGAGTACGTCCTAAGAGGTTCGTACTAACGGGGTTCTTTAATGCGCCGACGTCCTGGTGTAAGAACGCGAAGGTTGACACTGAACAAACCCTCCGATTATTTACGTTGGCAATACCTGTGTATCATATGACTAGAGTAATTGTAGAGCTGTATCAGATGACCGTCAACAGGGGGACTGTGACCTTGGTTTGTCATCTTACCCGTTGCCATGGATGTGAGCTCACCTAACAGTCCCTGCCCTGCCTCCCTCCCCTCCTGACGACCTGCCACACATCACAGCCCTAATGATTCTGCCACACAACCCCACTCCCCACCAACAACAAAAATGGCCGCGTTCCACAAAGCGATCTAGCTATAGTGTTAAATTACGACTATCGTAACTCTGATGTTTGAACATTCGCTTACGTTAGTCGTAACGCAGGAACAAACCACAAACCACAGAGAGATCGTAACTGCTGTGGTTCCTACACTTTAACGTAGGTTAAAACGGTCGTACTGCTAACACCGCTTCGTGAGACAGGTCCCTTCTGAAGTAAAAGCACCTGAATGAAGTCCGCTGTGTAGGGAAACGCCTCCTGCCCGAAAACCTCAAGTATTTGACACTAGACACTGAACAACTATCCCGTGTTGAAGCTAAGTAATAAATACTCTTCAGTCAATGTCCATATTCAGGGTTAATCAACACAATATTGACTCGTGTTCCTACTGGAGAATTCCGCGCTGTTACGAAGGTAACGGCACAGATTAGTTGACGTAATGGTGTGGGAACAGATTCGTGTGCTACTTTTAACGACCTGATGACGTTATTTGATAGGACATATTTGAACACTAAATACAGTGTGGCTATCTGTATGAAACAACACTGATAATCGGGTTTATAGGCTTGTTATGGCTAATATTGACACAATAACCCATACTACTCGTTATATTGTGCATCAAGGACGAACTTGGGCCATGAGTAAGTCGACTATTCATGAGCACATCAGTTGTCGCCCCTAGACAACAACCTTGAGGTATTACTGTACGACACCATCGTGCATTTGTTTGCACGTTATGAACCAATCATAAGAATTTGTGGCCCCACATTAGACCATAAATTTATATTGCTTGATCGGATGTTGAACTGAAAGTGCTGGCTTGAGATAGTATCGACAAAGCGGCGAAATCGTGTTAGTCGCTAATGTAAAGCTACCATTCACGCCTTCAAAAATGTTCATAAAAGTCCGTCGCTGAATTGAATGAGTGAGTGAGTTGGGTTTTACGCCGCCTTTAACAATATTCCAGCAATATCACGGCGGGAGACACCAGAAATGGGCTTCACACATTGCACACATGGTTTGAATCGAACCCGGGTCTTCAGCGAGACGAGGGAACGCCTTAACCGCTAGGTTACCCCATCGCCTCCCGAATTGAATTGAATTCAGCCAAACCTTTTCTTTGGGAAATGTATTTTTATAAGCGTTGGTCTAAAAACACGATGGGTTGATTTACTACCCGTGCTGTATTGTTTTACGTTTATATATACATAGTCTCTGACAAATACCTAGTTTAATCGAAACATTTGATGTAATAAAGATATATAGTGTTGGAACAAGTCTTAGGGTAATTAAAAATCATATATTATAATTTGCATTGCAGGGTAGTTTCGACAATGGTTTTCGAATATGCATCATAACAAATTTCAATTTCGGCACCAAAATGAAAACAAAAAAGGACAAGAAAACAAACACGAAGTTTTTAAGCCGTCTGAAACAAATCTTTATAGGATAGTGTCGTTTGATAAAGCTGTCGGAACGCTACGGATGTCGTAAGTCTGCGTTACGTACGACCGTCGTAAGTCTGCGTTACGTACGACCGTCGTAAGTCTGCGTTACGTATTTTTGTTACAATGATCTTGAACTGGGGCCACGGTGCGCGCTATTCTATGACCCTCCTCATTATTCTGCTTCGGAGCCCATATCGCAATGATAATTGACATACATGTCTCACGGACAGCTAGGGATTCTGTGTTCTGACATAACGCCCCAGGCTCAACAACCGTCAACTGCATCCAGAACGGGACATCATAACATTTCGCACAACGCTTGCCCCGCTTTTCTTGTTTAGAAACAAGGCAAGGACCTTTTTATGTTATTGGTTAGAATGAGCAACACGGCCAGATGACTTAGAAACAGTTTTCAGGATTTATACATCGTAGACGTGGTCGTTGTGGCATCGGCAGTTTCTACTGAGAGATTTGAACCAATGACCACCGAATCCTTTCATGGGTAAGGGATACAAGGTCTCAGACAAATTATTACAAAAACACACCTCCGTTTTAGATTATTTAGAGTGAGTGAGTTTAGGTTTACGCCATATTCCATTAATGTGGTCATCAGTCTGACGCACGTTTTTATCAGTCTAGGGTTTTGGGGTTAAAACCATGTTTCATGGTAAAGATGTGAGAAGCCTATTGTTTTTCTTCAATCCATGAAAGTCGTAAGGGTCGACTAATGAAGGATGGGGATATCAGACTCACTGACATGTTGATTCATGTCATCGTATCCTGTCGGCGTAGATCGATGCTCATGATGTCAATCACTGGATTGTCTGACTCGGTGATATATGATCGCCGTGTAATAACAGGCATTTTGCTGAGTCTGGCGTTAAACAATAAACACACTCACATCATTAGACAGCTCTGTCACGCGGTCGTCATCAATACCATGTTTACATTTCGTGACCTTCTGAACACGTATAATCGGTGTAGACGAAAGCCACATATTCATAAGACATTATGCTGACAATGCGAAAGAGCCATTACCGATTTGTTTAGGATCCAGTTACAAAGGAATTTAAGAAGGAGAAGTCACGCCAAGCCTCAGTTAAAATCTGCGCACACTACAAGTGATTTAGTCTGTCTCACAGTCCCTGAACCACATTATTTTCCCTAAAGCCTAGCCTTCCCTGTAGTACTAAAGCCCTAAACGAAGCAAGTCTAGATTTTCCCAGGTTCAGGTTCTGAATCTCTGGTCTCCCTAGGGCTCCTTTTCAATCAAAATGGGCTTGTTTGTTACTATCAAAATTATATATATTCAGAGACTAAGCCTTAGTCTACAAGTGCTTATGACCCCCAAACATATATTCGTATTCACTGACTGACATCTTTGAAATACGTCACTTCAGTTTGTCAGGAAATATACTTAATGTTTCGAGACATTCCGGCGTTTTAGCCCGTTTGAAAAATCTTAAATAAAATTGTAAATCAGGTATGCAATTTAACTGGAATATATCATTTGTTTAAGTGACATTGACATTAGTAATTATGGAGTAGATGGAGTAGACCTCGTATTCGTCTTCCGAATAATCAAATTATATAAATGCACTTCAAAGTAATAAACCCCGTGGAGACTTTGTCTGAAGCCTGTTGAGAAGTCATATGCATTGCAATTTGACTGAAAATACACCTCTATCGGATTTTAATAGGAAATCTGCCTTTCTGTAACATCCTCCTATTAGAGTGAGTTAGCAGCCAAATTCCCTCAACATACATCCGTCTACACACAATGGTGAAACACGAACTGGTCAGATTAATATCTTGGATACTCGTGTTACCATGTAATGAGTGAGTGAGTGATAGGGTGAGTGAGTTAAACGCCTCTTTAAATAAAACAGTATTGCAGCCTCTGTTGTTTACAATCTCAATCTACCAAATAGTACTTAATAAGTTCGTTATAACGTTAACCCATTTTCTCACAGAATTAAGTACAATAATTGTGTGTAGAATTCTTTAGTTATGCCATCCCAGTATATTTCAGATTATTTCATTTGGTACATGTTATATCTTCTCTTTAGTATGGAATATATCATATAAATTTTCGAATCTAAACAGGAGACAACAAATACAAACTAGAGCTAAAACTCCCAACACATGGCATGAGAATAACAAATCAATAGAGAGTACGCATAGTTACAGTTATAACAAATTACCATGACATTGTCTATATGTAGCGAAACCTCCATAATCCGGACAACCGTTTCGGGACCAAAGGTAATGCACCATTGGTAGAAAGAGAAAGTAATGTCGGTCTGTGTATATAGAGAGTCTGCAATTATGTATATACTCTACTCCTCCAACAGAAACGCCCGGAAAGGCAGGTTTCCGTCTATTGTTGACCTTGGACTTTCACTTGAAATGGTTCTTCTTACACGAGCAAAGAAGTCAAACCGCAGAGTGCATCGTCTTTTAACAATACTGTTAATAGATTTCAAGTCGCCCAAAAACAACCCCACAAGTCAAGACCGTTCAGACAATGTACAGTTATTGTCGACATTGGAGGAAATTGTAGAATTGTACTTGTACGTTTCATATTCAAATACTTTTGAGGATGGATGAGCGAGCTTTTCTCGCGATGAGGGGAATTATCGATCTATGTCTTCTCGGGACACAAAGACTGGAGGAGAATCTTTGAAGTTACCGTTGCCATTGCTCGCACAGGTAAGGCATCGCAGCTGATCTACGAACGTACGAGTACAAGACACATAAAAACCCGAATAAACAATCCACCTACCTTGACTTTATCGCTGTCGAAAATCGCAGACGCACATCCGAGAAACACAAACATTAATGTCGCCAAAAATTCGGCTAAAACTGCTCTCCAAAACGGAAAAGATTTCGCCTCTCGCAAATCAAATAATTTTCCTGCTGCGCCAGGTCCGAATCTTATTGAATCAATTTTGTTGGCGACATACATGAAATACCCCTCCATGGTGAATGATTATCCGATGAACAAAGACCTAATTGCTGGGAAGAACAAGCACTGCGTTCGAGCAGACGACACAAGGCGAGCAAGCAGCATCTATTGCTCGTGCGAAGTGTTTGACATGTATTTATATTGGTCACCAGTGTCACGTGACTGCTGCGACAGTTACACTCATTCATAAGAAGCACTGGAGTTGTGCTTCACGTTGCCCTGTGGGTCATTGGCGTTACTACGGCCATCGGAGTTGATACACTGTGGATACACGTCGCTTTTGCTCTTTGTGTAGTGTTTGGCTAGCTGGGATTGCGGGCTACAGTAGAATGATTTATTGAATAGTTATGGGTGGTTTAAGTGCGGCGGCACTTCGTGAAAGATTAGATGTGTCATTTCGTTGAAAGAAAAAAGGTGTTAATGAGCTTATGATTATCATACGTGGTTATGTTCATGAAATGTTGCGTTATAACATTTTCATGCAGATACTCGTGTTCTGTGCAACATGCATGCCATTTGTGTAGTGTTTTGTGTCTCTATTTTTGTTTTAATTTTGCGTGGGGGTGGGGGTGGGGTTGGAGTTGTATGTCGGGTGGTGATGGGGTGGGAGAAGATTTGGGGCATTTTTACGAACAGTCTTGGGAATGAGAGTAAATTGGTTCACGGTTTGGACTTGTCCATGGACCTTTCTAATAAAACTACCCATTAAGATCCGGGTTAGAATTGGTCTTCAGCAACCAATCCTTGTAAGAGGCGACTAACGGTATTGGGTGGTCAGGCTCGCTGCGTAGATGATGATGATCGACTGCTGATGCCAGTCACTGGATCGTCTGGTCCACTGGATGTAGCTAATTCGACTTTTTCATAAATTGTTTTAGTCTTTTCCATGGCCCTTACTTATTATATTTCCTTTCGATTGACATAAGGCATGTCCACGGACCTTACTAATACCCTTTTCTACAGATATCACAAGATATTTTCCTCGGACCTTACTAATACAACTTCCTACATATAACATAGGGAGTGTCCACCGACTTTACTAATAAGACTTTCTTTCAGATGGCATATAACTTTACGCTAGTCCACCGGCCGCTTACTTATTCGACCTTCTTATAAATAACGTCAGGTGTGTCCACGGACCTCACCAATACGACCTCCTTATATATAACGTTAGGTGTGTCCACGGACCTCTGCAATACGACCTCCTTATAAATAACGCTAGGTGTGTCCACGGACCTCACTAATACGACCTCTTTTAAATGACACTGGGTGTGTCCACGGACCTCATTAATACGACTTTCTTTTAAATGACAGTGGGTGTGTCCACGGACCTCACTAATACGACTTTCTTTTAAATGACAGTGGGTGTGTCCACTGACCTCACTAATACGACTTTCTTTTAAATGACAGTGGGTGTGTCCACGGACCTTAATAATACGACTTTCTTTTAAATGACACTGGGTGTGTCCACGGACCTCACTAATACGACTTTCTTTTAAATGACACTGGGTGTGTCCACGGACCTCACTAATACGACTTTCTTTTAAATGACACTGGGTGTGTTCACGGACCTCATTAATACGACTTTGTTTTAAATGACACTGGGTGTGTCCACGGACCTCACTAATACGACTTTCTTTTAAATGACACTGGGTGTGTCCACGGACCTCACTAATACGACTTTGTTTTAAATGACACTGGGTGTGTCCACGGACCTCACTAATACGACTTTGTTTTAAATGACACTGGGTGTGTCCACGGACCTCACTAATACGACCTCTTTTAAATGACACTGGGTGTGTCCACGGACCTCATTAATACGACTTTCTTTTAAATGACACTGGGTGTGTCCACGGACCTCACTAATACGACTTTGTTTTAAATGACACTGGGTGTGTCCACGGACCTCACTAATACGACCTCTTTTAAATGACACTGGGTGTGTCCACGGACCTCATTAATACGACTTTCTTTTAAATGACAGTGGGTGTGTCCACTGACCTCACTAATACGACTTTGTTTTAAATGACACTGGGTGTGTCCACGGACCTCACTAATACGACCTCTTTTAAATGACACTGGGTGTGTCCACGGACCTCATTAATACGACTTTCTTTTAAATGACACTGGGTGTGTCCACTGACCTCACTAATACGACTTTCTTTTAAATGACACTGGGTGTGTCCACGGACCTTACTAATACGACCTCCTTATAAATGGCATTAGGCGCGTCCACGGACCTCACTAATACGACTTTCTTTTAAATGACACTGGCTGCGTCCACGGACCTCACTAATACGACTTTCTTTTAAATGACACTGGGTATCTCCACGGACCTCGCTAATACGACTTTCTTTTAAATGACACTGGGTGTGTCCACGGACCTTACTAATATGATTTCCTTACAAATAACATTGGGCGCGTCCATGGAACTTACTAACAAGACAACTACACTGGGCGTGTGCACGGACCTTACCGATGCAGCAGTTGACAAACCTATGGACCCCGCTGTGGCGAGGAGAGCTGAGAAGCGAGATGGGTACACATGCACTTTGGTTTCCAAAGTCAACAACAGTGGCCACACGGTCTTCTATTCGGTCTCTGTCAGGCAGGTTATGAGTAATATTAGCCATGTGTGCCTTGTTATTTCACGACATGTCTTCGAGTGGTTTGTGCAAGCGCACGGCAACTAAGTAGGACATGCTGGACACAAAGCCGGCCTTTCATATCGCACAGTTACGTCAACGGTTAGGGAGCGGTAGGGTAGTCCAGTGGTTTACACTGGTCACAGCGTTCACTTTAGTCTTGCTGCTGGGCTGTACTGAGTGATAAGCCCACGCATTTATAGTAATTCTATCCTTTAAAGAGGCAAGTGTAGATAAGGCTAAGACCCCAGTCTGTTATTAACATTTTTGTTTTAGAAATTATCATATAAACTATTAATTATTACCTTAGAGACTTGTGCAAGTCTACGTTCGCTCGTCACGCCGACGATGCGATCAATGTGGAGCCTATTTCTGGTGTACCTTGCAGTCATGTTGCTTGAATATATCCGCCTCCGTGGTGGAGTGGTCGCGGGTTCGATCCTCGGCCGCGTCATTCCAAAAAGACGTTAAAATATGGTACTTGTTGGTCCATGCCTGGCGCCCGGCATTAATGGGTACAACAAGGACTGTTAGGCTCGGAGTCAGTATAATGTGTCTGAGTGGGGTATTCATGATTAGCTGCGGCATGGTATCTCAGTGAGCTAACACTATAAAACCAGCTTAAGTCTGGGCTAGTACAAGCAGCCCACATACGACCCGCATTACACACAGACAACTAGTTTTACGCCGCTTTTAGCAATATCACGGCGATGGACGCCAGAAATAGTCATCACACACTGTACTCACCACGGTTAATACTGGAGAACTGAACTGATCTGCGATATGAGTTTACTGCAGATGTATTACGGTATATGTAATACATGCTCACCATGGTTACTGCTAAAGCTCACATATGCTGAGCTACCAATATTTTCTGATGAACTGATGTATGCAGTAACGAATCTGAATATGACGGAGTCTAAAATAAGAATTCTAAAACTAAAAAAAAATTCTAAACGGATTCTCAAACAAGATTCCAAAACTTGAATAACATTCTTTTATGATATTACATTATATCTCTGCGTTTCTTGCAACACAAACCGAAACATGAGTATCATTAACGAATTCAGACAATGACCTACTTTTCAGCCGATCCGGCTTTTCTCGTGTAAAAGTGAAAAGAGACACCACAAACACCTATGGTTACACTGAATTTCAATTCCTCGTTTCATATGAAAATGATATTTACAAGTTCATTTTAATTTTAAAATTTAATAACATCGTATTTCTGTTTTATGGCGAGGTGTAGGCAGCATGACCTTTACTAAAACGTCACAGACTGCCCCTGTTTGATGAAGTCGTACAATGGTTCACAATTCGTCTGGCTCATTGGTTTCACCTGTTATGTGTTCTTTGTGCTTTTCCGAATGTAGTTTTATAACGGACACTGTGATTGATATAATATCAAGTCCGTACCAGACCGCCAAACATTTCTAGCGGCAGAACCTCGTTTTGAGATTTCCACGATTTCCGTTTGTCAGAGCACGTTGTACGACACAGAACGCTGCACGACGTGTTTGCAAGGATTAGAAGGAGCGTAGTGTTGCAATATACAAGTGGTTAGATGTATCAAATAATACTGATTGATATTTATGCATCCAGTTGAATGAATCTTGTCTCACAATTCTGGACTGTTTATTGTACTAAGTTGCGCAAAAGGACGGAACCCAGTCAGCAGGAAACGAGACTGTTGTAATCAATGTTTTGACTTGTGGGTGAGTGAGTTTACTTTTTCGCCGCACTCAGCAATATTCCAGCCATATGGCGGCGATCTGTAAATAATCGAGTCTGGACCAGACAATCCAGTGATCAGCAGCATGAGCATACGATGACATGTGTGAAGTCAGGGAGCCTGACCACCCCATCCCGTTAGTCCCCTCAACGGCAAGCATGGGTTACTGAAGATCAATTCTAGCCCGGATCTTCACGGGTCTTCTTGCAACAGCTTGCTATAAGGAGGATCTGATGTTTGTGGTATGTCATTGTGCCGGACGGCGAGCATCGTCGCTCATTCCTTCTACGGCTGTTTTCGTCGTCTCAGAATCAAATATATATGCAGGGCTGGATACTGGTGACAGGGACGACATAATACCATGCACTAGTGGATGGCAATAATCCAGTGATACAACGGTGGGGACATCAGAAACGTTCAAACGTTGTGCCCAATTGGAGAATAGAACCCGCGCCTTTAGGTGTGAGGAGTGAACGCTGTAACCACTAGGTTACCCCACGACCCCATCCCGAGTTATGTTTTGCATCCGACATTTTTACACGATTTATGGGGGTTCAAGTTGATAAATAGCACATATCAAAGTCATATTTTACTCTTAAAATGAATTATATCTCCCCCAGAGGTATAAAAACGAGTTGTGTTGAAAAGCAGACAAGTGTACATACTCGAAAGGTAAATAACGCAGGTAAAATCACTACCAGGTGGGCTTCACTTGTGACATTAATCCATTTTAGGACCACAGGGTTTACACAATTACGTTCAGGT